GTGTGGATGCGGGTGCGCGTCCCTCCCGTTGCAGCCCCCAAGCCCCCCCCGCCTGGCCTGCGTCCTGCTGCAGGGGAAGGAGGCGCAGGGAGGGCTCTGGGCCACGAGGCTGGCAGGGGGCACACGCACCTCTCCCGCCTTGCCCCGCTCCACCCGCATTCCCTAGCCTAAATCTCCTTTTCGGTTTCATTTTAAACCATCTTGGTCCTCCCGGTCTCTCTCCCTTCTGCCTTGCAGGTGCAGCTAGAGGTTTGCACCATGCTTTCCGCAGGCTGCCTGAAGCTGTAGCACCGACGACTTTCGTTCGTCATGTAATTCCCTGCCGTGGGTAGAAACAGCTGCTGGGGTTAAGCAGCCTCCCCCGGAGGGAGGAAAAAACCTGTCTGACCCAGGTGAGGATCAGGCTGCTGCTGGAAAGGTTTGAAAACTCATCTTAGCTCCCCCGAGCTGTTGTGCGCGGTGGAAGGGGGCGGCTGCGGTCCTGCCGGGGGAAAGCTGCTGCCGGGAGCTGCTCGCGGCAGCGGCTGCTCGCTGCCCGAAGCGTCGCCTGCAAAGGGAACCATGCCGGGACCGCTGCAAGGCGGCAGATCCCCTCTGTGCTGCAAATCAATCCCCCGGGTTCGCGACACAGTGACGCGTGAGCGAAAGCAAAGGGTTTCCTGCGAGGGGATAACGGCCCTGCCGCGCTGCCCAACTCGCTGCACGGCCGCGGCTGGCTGCCTGACGCGGCAGGACCGGCTCCCTGCGACCTCTGGGCTGTATTTTAGGTGCATCGGGTGATTCGAATAAGCCCCGCTCTGTTCTCAGCCTCGGCTCTCGCTCATCTTTAGTTAGTCCATAGGGAAAAACATGCTCGTGGCCACTGCAGGAAGTGAGATCTGGGCCTTAAAGAAAATGGAACAAATGGCTGAAACAGCTATTTAAGGTCAAAAGCAGCTGCTGAGCTGCTCGCAGGGAAAGCGGGAGAAGCTGCTTAGCCTCCTCTGAGGCTCTTTTTCCTGATACTCTGCAAAAAAAAAAAAAAAAAAAAAACGAGTCC